CCCCCGGACTGTCTGTGTTTCAATGCCCCGCGGCCATCAGGTCGGCGCACGGGGGGGGGGGGGGGATTATTAACAGTTTTTAAAGCAAACTTGGCCTGTAAACAGTTGTCCATCCCGGTGTCCCGCGCCAGCTTTGAGCTGAGCGTCTTTGAACTCGGACACTCTCCTACGGTTCTGTGTGCACTCGTCTATCGCCCACCTCGTTCTAAGGACTTCATAAATGAATTCTCTGACTTTTTGGCTGATATCACACAGAGATACACTCACTTTTTGCTTATTGGTGACTTTAATTTGCATGTGTGTTGTCAGGAGAAGCCCTTAGTGAAGGACTTTCTGGATTTATTGGACTCTTTTAATTTAGCTCAGCAGGTGAGCGGCCCCACCCAGGAACACGGTCACACGTTGGACCTCGTTTTAGCACGCAATGTCTCCGTTTCTAATTTGAAAATCGGTGACAATGTTTTTTCAGATCACATGCCTGTATTGTTTGACTTCACCCCCCCTTGTCATACTGCTAAGACGTGCGTTCCTGCACGTACGCGTTCCATTAACATTTTCACTGCTGCTCGTTTTAATGAAGGTTTTAACTCTGAGAGGATCGAACAGCTCTCGGTGTCTCTTACCACTGAGGAGCTAACCTCTCAGTTCAACTCTGCCTGTTTAAATGTTCTGGACCGTGTTACTCCCCTTAAAACCAGAAAAACGAAACTTAGATCAGAGCCTTGGCTGAATGACGTCACACGAGCCGTTAGGCAGCAGTGTCGCAGAGCTGAACGAAGGTGGAGGAAGGACATGTTGCCGGTTTCTTTTCAAATGTTAAAGGAGAGTTGGCGTCACTATCAGAAAACCGTTAAAGCTGCCAAATGTAAATTCTTCTCTGATTTAATTGTCTCCAACTCCCACAACCCCCGAGTTCTTTTCTCCACCCTGAACTCAGTTCTACACCTCAGTGAGCCTTCACCTCTGGAAGCCTCAACTGAGCTGTGTGAAAACTTCCTCCATTTCTTTTTAGAAAAAGTGGCACCTCCATTTCTTTTTAGAAAAAGTGGCAAACACCCGGGCACTCATTTCTCCACCAGCTCATGATCTGTCCATCCCATCTCAATGTGTGGCTGTGTTTGACCACTTTGAGCCCATCTCTCTGTCCTCTCTGGAGCAGGTAATGTGCAGCATGAAACCATCTGGTTCCCCCTTTGATGTGGTCCCCCCTCAACTGCCAAAGTAAGTTTTTCCTACCCTGGGTCCTTTTATCCTTGCTATTCTGAATAGCAGTTTATCCTCAGGTGTGGTGCCAAAGACTTTTAAACATGCTGCTGTCCAGCCCCTCCTGAAAAAAAATCTAACCTTGACCCCTCAGTCATGTCCAACTTCCGGCCTGTCTCCAGACTCCCATTCACCTCTAAACTACTGGAAAAAATTGTGGAGTCTCAGTTGAAACAGTTTTTGGGGGATCACGCTATCCTAGAGTTATTCCAATCTGGCTTCAAATCTCTCCATAGCACTGAAACTGCTCTACTGAAGGTTTTTAATGACATTTTCATATCCACAGACGCAGGTGATTCTGTGCTGCTTGTCCTATTGGACCTTACATCTGCTTTTGACACCATCGACCACAAGATCCTCATTTCTAGACTAGAGCAGTGGGTGGGCATCACAGGGTCAGCCCTTAAATGGTTTGGGTCCTACCTCTCTGACAGAACCTTCTGTGTCAATATCAAAGATTTTAGTTCGGCATTGACAGCGCTCCAGTGGGGGGTACCACAGGGGTCCATCCTCGGTCCCCTTCTCTTTTCTTTATACCTGCTGCCACTAGGTGCTATCTTCCGCAAACACAACATACCCTTTAATTTCTACGCCGATGATTGCCAAATTTACTTCCCCCTGAGGCACAGAGGCACACGCTCTATTCAGCCTCTTCTTGACTGCCTAGCTGACATCCGGGACTGGATGGCTTTAAACTTCTTAAGCTTCAATGAGAAGAAGTCTGAAGTCATGCTGTTCCATCCCAGTGGCTCACTCATGAACCATGACATTGACCTTTTCTCTCTAGCCCCGCTAGAGAAACAAAAGGTCACTAATCTGGGGGTGATAATGGACCTGTCCTTAAAACTCAACAGTCACGTAAACATGATGGTCAAATCCTGTTTGTTTCAGCAGAGACGGCTGTCTAAGCTGAAGCCTATACTCTCCAAAAAGAACCTTGAGACAGTGATCCACGCCTTCATAACATCTAGGCTTGATTACTGCAATTCACTTGTGTTTGGAATCAGTCAGTCCTCCATTGCTCGTCTACAACTGGTCCAAAATGCTGCAGCCCGATTTTTAACTGGTACAGGCTATAGAGAGCACATCACGCCAGTTTTGGCCTCCCTGCACTGGCTACCCATTCACCTTCGGATCCATTTCAAAATTCTCATGTATGTTTTTAAATCACTGAACAGTTCCGCCCCATCCTATCTCACTGATCTTCTGCAGCCATATGTCCCACCGCGCTCTCTGAGGTCAGCAGACCAGATGCTTCTCTCAGTCCCAGAAACCCATCGTAAGCTCAGAGGTGACAGGGCTTTCTCTGTTGCAGGTCCACGACTGTGGAATGAGTTGCCACTGAGTGTCCGGCAGGCTCCCACACTCTCAGTCTTTAAGTCTCGCTTGAAGACCCACTTCTATTCTCTTGCCTTTAACACGGTGTGATTTGTTTTGGTCCGGTCTGTTCTCTACTCTGTTGGCCATTTTAGTTAGCTCCTGCTGCTATTTGTATCTGTATTTCTATTTTATGTTTTCCTGTCTGCTGTGCATGTTTGGTTCTTTTGTACAGCACTTTGGTTGGCCTTGTTGCTGTTTTAAGTGCTCTATAAATAAACTGGTATGGTATGGTATGGTATGGTATGGTATGGGTATGTTTACATACCTGAGCAGTTTTTAAACAGTTTTTTTTTTTATTAGATTTGAAGAGCTGCAGCTCTTCACATCATCAGTTTTTTTCATTCATTCAACCTTTATTTCTACAGGTTAATCCCATTGAGCCTCGAGGACTCATTTACAAGAGAGACCTGATTTTTTTTTTAACAAAAAGTGATGACAACAGTGGACAACAATGACAACAATAGACAATCATAAAAGAGGCATACAGATTTATTTTAATTTTTTAATTTTTTACAAGTTAAAATAAAATGGCAACCAAAAGTACAGTCGAAAGGAAAAAGTAGCAAAAAACAGCTAGATTATAAGGCGGTGTAAAAAACTAAAAACAGGAACATGTCTGTACTGGTTTTTGCCAGGAACTTAATGATGTTTGAAGCCACTTAGAGAGGTCAAGGTCGAGAGCTTCACCTTCCCTTCTTTATGGCCTCCCCAACAAATCTCTCCAGAAGCTGCAATTGGTCCAGAACTCAGCTGCCCGTGTCATCACTCAAACCTCCTCCTATAACCACATCACTCCTGTCCTGCAGCAGCTCCACTGGCTCCCGGTTAAATCACGCATCGTCTTCAAAATTCTTCTTCTCACTTTCAAAGCTATCCACAACCTTTCCCCTCCGTACCTATCTGACCTCCTACACATCTCCATCCCCTCTCGCTCTCTCAGATCCTCCTCTTCACTACACCTCCATGTACCCTCTGCCCGCCTCTCCACCATGGGGAGCAGGACCTTCACCTGCTCTGCTCCTCATCTCTGGAACTCTCTACCGCCTGACTTAAGAAACACCACCTCTCTTTCTATATTCAAGACTGATCTGAAAACACATCTCTTTACACTCGCTTATCCTTCTTAACTTTGTTTTATGTAGTTTATATTTCAATTTATTCCTGTTGATCTTTGCACTGTTTGTTTTTACACAATCTTTCGGATATATTTCTTAATGTAAAGTGTCCTTCGGTGTCCTGAAAGGTGCTTTTTAAATAAAATGATTATTATGATTATTATTATTACCATTTATGATTTTATAAACAAGACCCAAGTTAGAAAATAATCTAAAAATTCCAAAGCTCTAAAGCTTGTATTTCTCTAAAATCCTACAGTGGTGATAGTGCACTGTCTTTTTATGCAAAGCTTTTAGAGTCAGTTTATATAAAGATTGAAGAGGTCTTAAAACACCAGCACCAGCCTGACCCCAACAGGTGATACAGTACCACATATGGGATAAAATCATGGCATGCATGAATGTCAAGTGAGAGACAATGTCTGATATATTTAACTTTTTTAAGTTTGAATTTAATGACTTTAGTCATATTCTTAAAATGCTTCTTAAAATTCAAATTTGGATCAAGGGTCACCCCAAAATATTTAAATTCAGTAACTATATCAATTTTTTCCTCTTTAATGTAAATATCAGTACTAGGAAACTATACCATGGTTTTAGAAAAAACAACAACATACATTTGGTCTTCTTTACATTTACATTTTATACTTTTTTTGGGATGTAACTGGGATCCTGTGTACACAGTTCCACCACCTGCGCCACATGTGGTTCAAATGACAAATAAAGAAACTCTGACTCTGACAACAAAACTGAAGTTGGTACCACGCTTATTTTTCAAGCAACTCAGCTCACAACACAGATGGACGTTTATGGTGGCATCTATCTTTGTTTTTGATGTGGCAACACAATATTCTATAGGAACCTTTCTTATGCCTAGAGGAAGTTGATACCTCACATACTTTTCACGTTATCATGCTCACAGCATGCAGTGGTGATTTCCAATTTCCCCTCTTTGCTCTAGTGACGGGGGGACAAAAAGAGAGGTGAACAGCAATATGTACTGTGGGATGCAGTGGAAAAGGATCATACGGTAGCATAAGATGAACGACAAAATAGTTTATAATTAAAAGGGTTAGAATTCAAAGTAAACATATTTTTATTGAGTTCACTGTCTTATAAGTCAGCAAAAACTAGGTTAAAACATATTAACGTTTCCATACGTCCAGAGGCAAAGGGGGTTATAATATATTTTTGAGGATTTTATGAGCTGACTCCTTGATTTGTGAACATTTTCCAGTCTGATTAGATGAACACATGTGTGCTGATGGCAGGCTGGCAGTGTGCTCCCCACTGAGACTCTTCTACATCAGGATACACAAGATCTTTGTAGGGGATATGCAGTTTAAAAACACAGTACCTGCGATCCACATCTGACTCTGAGCTGGGTGAGTGGTTAGGGTAACCGTGGAACTTCTCCTGTGGGAAAAACCCATCCATATTTGAATAGGCACACCAGAAACTGATTTCATGAGTTATCAGTTCTGCAGGGGGCAGCAAACGCTTGGATATCTCACCTCGTCCTCACTATCGTCTGCTTTGAGCTTCTTTTTGTCTTTCTCCATTTCCTTCCCTTTCTTTTTGTCATCATTGCTGTTTTTCTTCTCTTTCTCAGGCAGGAGGTCATCCAGCCACGCCAAGTCATGCTGGGTAAAGACCACATCAAGCACCTTCCGGACCACCATGAGACCCAGGATCTGATGTTTGACAGAGATACGTGCTATTAAAAAAAATCTAATAATAGTTTCTAATCCAAGTCATGCTTAATGAAACTGGTAGGCAATTAGTTCACAGTGAAACCTGTTGGGGATTTGCCAGGTACCAAATAAAAGCCCCGCCTGCTTGCTGAGAGGCAGCATCTGTACCACCTGCGCCACCATGATGATGATGATAATTTTATTTCAGACAGACATTTCACCAACAAAACATAATAATAAAGACTTTCATGTTTCTAAGTGTAAATACAATATCTTACTATCAAATATACATACTCAATTTTTATAGACTCAAATACATGTAAATATTCCACTTTTTTGGTGACTGTGAGTCTGAAAAGGAGTAGATGAAGTTTAACTTATATAATCATAACCCTTTTCCATTCATTAATTCATAGCATAAATAGTCGTCCTGTTGCCAGTATGCTTTCCAAAAATAATAATAATAAAAATATAAATAGTAATAATAACTATAATACTATTTTCTGGACCAGATGAAAGTAACACATACACACATAGATATACATACATATCTACCTGCATAAATACATAAATAATATATACCTATTTACACACACACACACAAACCAGCACCCAAATGCCCAGTTCATCCACAGTTCTATAATTACCAGCCAGTTCATCACCCCTGTTCATCCTTATACTTTTGAATAATAACCATTTTGAGTGTTTTCTTAAAACACCTCATGCTTGGACTTTGCTTCAACTCTTTGGTGAGTTTATTCCAGATGTTCACACAATGACAGAAATGCACATTCTCTTCATTGTTGTTCTAACATTCAAAGTTCTGAAATTTAGGTTTTCTCTATCGTCATATCTCCTGACTCTATCAGTAAATCATTTTTGAATATTTTCTGGCAATAGTTTGTTTCTAACTTTATACATAAATTGTGCAGTTTGAAACTCTACCAAATCTGTGAGTTTCAGGAAATAAGAATCTATAAATAAATTGTTGGTATGACAATAAAAATCAACCTTGTGAACTATTCGAATGGCTCTTTTCTGTAATGTGCATAATGGTTGAAGTGAAGTTTTGTAAGTGTTGCCCCAAATTTCCACACAGTAACTTAGATATGGCAAAATAAGTGAACAGTAAATAATATGAAGGGCAGAAGAATTTAGAAATTTTCTAGCATTAGAGAGAACTGCAATACTTCTAGCTATTTTAGATTGAACATATTTAATATGAGGTTTCCAACAGATCTTATTATGAATCAATACTCACAAAAACAGAATTTCAGTCACTCTCTCCTGTAGTGACGTAGCTGTTAGCTTCACTACTAATTAATTATTCTTAAAGCTAGTTCAAGCACAAAGAATATTAATTGTTTAATTACAACGGATTCTTTTCTTTTTCGAGTTAAATTTCTGTTATGTGACCAAGATAACTGTGAGTGGTTTAATAAGTGACATGAGACGCCATTTTATCTTTGACCCATCAGAATAAATGCGGTCATTTATTTAACAGAATCAAAATTTATCATCAAAATATGTACACATTGATTTGCTGATCTGTTTCTGATTAATAAACTTGGCACGCTTTATTCTGATGGGTCAAAGATAAAATGGCGTTTCATGTCACTGATTAAACACTCCACTCACAGTTATCTTGGTCACATAACAGAAATTTAAGTTGGAAAAGAAAATAATCTGTTGTAATTAAACAATTAATATTCTTTGTGCTTGAACTAGCTTTAAGAATATTTAATTAGTAGTGAAGCTAACAGCTACATCACTACATTTTGGTGGCTCGTAACGTTTCTGAAGAGATAAATTGTATGTGTGACCTGAGATATTGAGACACATTGTGATAATGTGGAAAACTCGTCATGTTGGCATAAAAAAGTCCAAGTTTTGACCTTGGTCGAAACATATTTCACGGCTGTGGAGTTCAGAAAGATGTAGAATTGCATTGAGGTTCATTTTGAAGCTGGAAATTGTCATTCTGTGTATGTGATTAAGCTGTACGCAGAGAGAAAGATGCATCATTCTGTTTGAAACTCTTGCATGACCGGGGGTTCGGTGGGCCGACCGGGTTCTGTTTACTGGACTCGAACGAGTCGTGTTTTAAATGGTGAAATGCTGTCTGTGAAACTGAGCGCCGACTCAGAGCTGCTTCTATGCTGATTCGCTACATTCCCACAGTTAATTGTGCATTTTCGAAGCTTTAATGGACGATATTGTGGCCGGACTGTTGAAGCTAACTGCTAGCTTAAGGCGAGTACACACGAGCTGTGATTGGTCGAGGACCGCTGTGTGAAATGTTCTGATTTGCCGAGAAGCTGGTGACGTAACGCCGTGCACGTCCACTCTCTGGCGTCAGTGCATAAAGCCCACCCCGATGTCCACGTGTCTGTAAAGTCACGTGACCCCGGAAATGAAGCTCATTTTAACTGAGTCTTCCTTAGTGGTTAAAACAATTGAATAAAGCCCTGACCTTCGTTCCTAACCTGATGAGTGTATGCCTAAAGAGCGTGCTTTTGAAGCGACGTTACGTTCAAGCTTTAAATCCGTCTATAAATGCTGATTTGGACCGTGTTTGTCCGTTGCTAATCGAAGCTAACGTCTAACGACCGGATGTCAACAGGACGGTTCACAGGAAGTCGTCAGTGACTCCTACCGATAAAAGTAAGCTTACACCACCACCTGCTGTTGAAAACAGAGTATTACAGTTTTTCATAGCAGAGCTGCAAACTCGCTTTTCATTTTTATTTTGTTAATCAAGCTTGATTTATGAGTTACTGTTTTAAATAGTGAATTCTGGTAAATTAAACGGCTTAAAGAGCGTTTAAAACTGCAAAGTTGCTGTCAGACTTTTAGTGAAAATTGCAGGTTTATTAATTTTAAGTGCATTGGAGTAAATAAACATTGAAATAGCCTGGCTCTTGTATCTGTTAGAATTAAGCTCATATGAAGTAACACTGCCACAGGAAGCATATACTTACAATATTCTTGGGGTAAAGCCTAAACACAGGTGCCCAATTATTGAAAAGATGGCTTATAACAGTACTGTTGATGGAACCCAGAGCTAAAATAGTGTGTGAAACTCACTGCTCACTTAAATACAAACATTTACCTGTAGAAAAATTCTAAGATTGCGACGGTTTAACCAGATAGGTTTTGCTGAACAGTAAATACAACCATGGCAGATTTAACAAAAGCTGAGAATGCTAATCTTAGAAGGGAAAAATGTAGTTATGTAGCTGTTAGCTTCACTACTAATTAATTATTCTTAAAGCTAGTTCAAGCACAAAGAATATTAATTGTTTAATTACAACGCATTCTTTTCATTTTCGAGTTAAATTTCTGCCATGTGACCAAGATAACTGTGAGTGGATTGTTTAATCAGTGACATGAGACGCCATTTTATCTTTGACCCATCAGAATAAATGTGGTCATTTATTTAACAGAATCAAAATTTATCATCAAAACATGTACACATTGATTTGCTGATCTGTTTCTGATTAATAAACTTGGCACGCTTTACTAAACAAGACAACAGAACATTACTGATTGAGACTGATTCATCTCTGAAGGCATCTAGCTTGGTTACTGGCGAATAGAGAAGTTTAAGAGAGGAGGAATAGATTTAAGGAGGAAGTTTAGATTTAAGGTTGAAAGTTATGTGTTGAACCAGCACATGGCACCCTTCCTCCGACATCCAGCTCAGCCCTCTGGTACACTTCAGGACGTGCAGCGACTTTGTTACCTGAGATGGTGGATACCTCCACTCCGGAACAGAAGTCCATTGGTACGCTCCCTTTTCAGCGTCTCCAGTTAGAGTGGCTGGGGGTCATCAGAAATCGTGACGAAGTACTCGGTTCAACCAAATAAGCTTCCTTAGGAATTGAGCTTTTAATGCTCGGGTTGAGTCACAGCCGAGGCAGGCTGTGACTACGTTGGACTGGAGAGACCTTTGGCACATGGTCAAATCCATCTGCTACTTAGTTGAGTCTCATCTCCGACTGAAAGTTCCAGCAAGACTGCCAGACTAAGACTCGTGAAGACTTTGAAGAAGACTGACTAAGACTTAGAAGGCACAGTCACATTATCAATTATTATTTGTGAATCGCTATGCCCTTTACAATTCCCAAATAACATAAACTTGGTTTTATCTAAATTTAGTGATAATTTGTTAATATCAAACCACTTTTTCAATTTACATAGCTCTAAATTAATTTCTATCAAACGCTGCCGTAAATTTTCACCTGTACAAAAAATGTTTGTGTCATCTGCAAATAAAACAAAATTAAGTATTTTAGAAAACTTACATATATCATTTATGTATAAACTAAACAACTTTGGTCCCAATACTGAACCCTGGGGAACACCACAAACAATGTCCAAGCAAGAGGACTGGAAATCACCCATTTGTACAAATTGTTGCCTGTTTCTAAGATAACTTTTCAACCAGTGCTAAACTACTCCTCTTAGACCATAGCGCTCTAGTTTCTTGATGAGTATTTCATGATCAATTGTATCAAATGCTTTTTTAAGTCAATAAATACCCCAAGGGCAGGTTTCTTTTTATCTAGTGCACTGGTCACCTCTTCTCTTGATTGAAGAACTGCCATCGCTGTGGATCTTTGTGACCTAAATCCATACCGACTCTCAGCGAGTAATTTGAGTTTACTAACAAATCTATACAATCTAGCAACAAATATTTGTTCCAGAATTTTGGAGAATTGTGGAAGTAATGAAACAGGCCTGTAATTCTTCTTTATTCTTCTTTAATCACCTTCTTTATTATTATTATATCAATGCCGTCACAGTCAGTTGACCTTTTATTTTTACATTTATTTACAATATCTATAATTTCTTTTCCTTCCACTGCTGTGACAAACATGGAATCTGGATTTCTACTAACTAATGTGTCATTTAGTGTTTCTTCTACTGTGGCCTGCGGGATTTCTTCAGCCAATTTAGGCCCCACACTTACAAAATATTTATTAAAATGATGAACTATCTCTTCTATGCTATTAAGGTTTTTATCATTATTTGTAAAGTGTTGAGGAAAGCTAGTATGCCTGGAGATTTTTCTAATGACACTATTTAAAATATTCCAGAAACCTTTAATATTATTTTTATTTCTATCCAACTGTTTGCTGTAATAATCTTGTTTTGCTATCCATAAAAAAGCGGTTAATTTATTCTTATATTTCTTGTATTTAATGTATAGCCGTTTACATCTATTTGTAATTTATCATTTTCAAAAGGAATATTTCCAGACAATATGAAAGTAGCTAAGGTAGTTCCTCTCTTTAAAAATGGTGATAAATGTGTGTTCAATAATTATAGACCAATACCCTTATTACCACAGTTCTCAAAAATTCTAGAAAAACTATTTGTGACCAGATTAGATAAATTTATTACTAAACAAAACATTCTAAGTAGCAGTCAGTATGGGTTTAGAGCAAAATACTCTACATCAATGGCTCTCATGGAAATAATGGAACAAATAACTACTGCTGTCGATCAAAAACAGTATTGTGTTAGTATTTTTGTTGATTTTAAAAAAGCATTCGATACTATTGACCACACTATTCTCCTTGAAAAATTAAATAAATATGGTATAAGAGGACCAGCATTACACTGGGTATCTAGCTATTTAAAAGATAGGAAACAGTTTGTACAAATAAATGGTGTAAGATCTGACCTCTACAATATCATGTGTGGAGTTCCTCAAGGCTCTGTGCTTGGACCAAAGTTATTTATTTTATATGTGAATGACTTAGTGAATGTATCAGGACTCCTCAAATGTGTCCTTTTTGCAGATGACACCACATTTTTTTGTTTGGGTAAAGATGTAAAACGGATGTTGGAATTGATGAAGACAGAATTTGATAAAATACAAACTTGGTTTAAACTTAATAAATTATCATTAAATTTAGATAAAATTAATTACATGATATTTAGTAACAAAAAGAGAACTGTTGATGATCCATTTAAAATTGAGGGTGTTGAGATTTGTAGAGTTAATGAGATGAAATTTTTGGGTGTAATCATTGATGAACAGCTAACATGGAAAAATCACATCAATTCTGTAAGAACAAAAATATCTAAATCTATTGCAGTACTATACAAAGTCAGGGAATTATTAAATGATAAAGCTCTGTACATGTTGTATAACACAATCATTGTTCCACATTTAATCTATTGCATTGATGTTTGGGGGAAAGCGTGTAAAACATTTACAAAGCCTATTTTTATTTTACAGAAAAGAGCTGTAAGAATTATCACCAGAAAGCATTACTGTCACCCATCAAGCACATTATTTTATCAACTGAACTTATTGAAGTTCCATGATTTGGTAGATTACAGTATTTTATCAGTTATGTATAGGGCTCAAAATCACACATTACCATTAAATATCCAAAGAAATGTTGTTAAAAGACAAAGTTGTTATAATCTTAGGGGATAGAGATATTTGTCAAACCAACATTCAGAACTAGTCTGAAGGGAAGGTCTACCTCAATCCAAGGAGTTGGATTGTGGAATGTTCTAGAGAGTGATGTGAAAAATGTCAAGTCAATGTGAACATTTAAGAAAAAGATCAAAACTGAATTGTTAAAAAAGTTTTTATGAAGTAGCTTAGTGTGTGTTTTGTATTAGAATTAGAAAAATTAAAAAGTTATTCATTTTGTTCTGTTACTTGAAAATTATTATGATTGAACTAATTGTTTGAAAAAAGGGGCAGATATAATAAGATTTTTTATTCTTTCTGCTGCCTTTCATTTTAGATCTTTTGTATCTTTTTTTATATTGTTTTGGAATTGTTTTGTACCTTTTTAAAATGAATAAACTTTATACCATACCATATTTATTTTCAACCTCAATTGATCTATGCTTTATGAAGTCTCTGTATAGTTTGTTCTTTTTTACAGGCATTTTGTAGTCCCTTTGTGATCCATGGAGTTTCTGAGTTGTTATTTTTATGAATAAACTTTATATTGGGACAATTTTTATCATATAATGATTTAAAAAATATTCAGAAAATTATCATATGCTTTATCCATTTCATTTTCTTTCAATACAGACTCCCAATTTTGTTTAGATAATTCATCTTTAAATGCCAGGCAGCACGGTGGTGCAGCTGGTAGAGCTGCTGCCTCTCAGCGAGCAGGTCCCTGGTTCAAACCCCGGTCCAGGGTCCTTTCTGGGTGGAGTTTGCATGTTCTCTCCGTGCATGCGTGGTTTTCTCCGGGTACTCCGGTTTCCTCCCACAGACCAAAAACATGCATGTTAGGCTGATTGGTGACTCTAAATTGTCCCTAGGTGTGAGTGAGAGAGTGAATGGTTGTTTGTCTCGTTTGTCTCTATGTGGCCCTGTGATGGACTGGAGACCCGTCCAGGGTGTACCCCGCCCCTCGCACAGTGATTGCTGGACATGGGCACCAGCGACCCCCGTGACCCAAAAATGGAATAAGCGGGTAAAGAAAATGGATGGATGGATGGATCTTTAAATGCTTTTATAGATTCTTCAGTCCTTAATCTTTTAAATATTGGATTATTCTTCCTCTTATCTTTCACGTGGCAGTTGTCACAAACAACAAAAACAGGTAAATGATCACTTATATCATTAACTAATAATCCACTTATTGTATTATTATGTATTATTATCACATTTGTAAATATATTGTCTATTAATGTTGCGCTGCTAAATGTGTTTCTGGTAGGTCTTGTAATTTGAGGGAAAAGGCTGAGACTGCATGTAGTATTAATAAACTCTTCAGTCGATTTGTGATTGTTTACATTCAGCAGATCAATATTAAAGTCCCCACAGATAAAATAGTTCTTTGGTGTCTTAGTTGTGTAGGTTTTCTCAAACCATTCTGTAATTGCCGCCGACAATTAAATCAAAGGTTAAAAAAAAGTTGCATAATGTTGTTTTTTCTTTTTCAGCCATACTTTGAGAAAGTTTCCTGTAACCCAATTACAGACACGTACCATCACAGGGAAAATAATGGCTAAGAAAGTGGATTTAAGGACCCACAGCAAGGCCAGACACAGAATCTGTATGAGCGTGAACAGATGAACCCTCCTCAGAGGAACATGACGGAGATAGGTGAAGTCAGGCTGGTGCTTGGATGGCATCAGATACAGCTTGATTCTGTCCCAGAACTGCAGAGACAATGGGACAGAAAGGGGGAAAAACATGTTTATTCCAAAGTTGGTTGAAAATGTCCACAGAAAACCAAAATGATCATGCTCATTAATCCAGGTGTAAAGGACGAAACATCTCAGCAACAAAAGAAACCGTCCAGGTGACCTGACTGAACATTGTTGGTCCACAGAAAAATTTAAATTGCGTGTCCAGAAAGAAGAGATGAAGTTTACAGGTCAATTAGTTTTGTTGTTTAATGTGATTTGGTGGCGTCTGTGCGGACACAACAGATTGTGTTTGCCAACTCCCTTCTTTATTTACATGGTAGCTGTAAAAATATCACTTCCCTGTTGCTATTAAGATAGCAGTAAGTCAGATGCCCAGCCACAAAACCCTTACTTCTGATGATTAAACCTTACAGCTAGCAAAGGCAGGTACCTGGATTCCACTGAGAGAAGCAACACCCATGTAGAGGAAGATGCCGTACAGCACCGGCATGGGGATGAACTGCAAGCAACAAAAAAGACAACTTGATTCACTGAACTCTGACCTCAGACAGTTAGATCTTTAGCACCAACACCACTGCTAATACAAAGCTTTTACAAAATATACTGTCGCAGTGCATTATTCATGCTAAAAATAAAACAAAAACTATGTTTTCTTTCTTCATTTCTTGTGCAGTTCATACCTTGAGTATTGGAGCCAGGAAGATGGAGACTCCGGTGAGAACGAACACCAGAATGCCCGTCACTCGCTGCTCTCTGTACGTTTGACAAGAAGAAAGTTTGGTCAGTTTCACAAAGTTTTTCTTAGAGCAAACCAAGAGTGACAACCTGATCTCACAGTTACGGGGGGGTGTAACTTCTTTATCCTCTGTTGTTTTTGTCAGCTTCCCCACTTAAACAGAAATGATTCGTGTCCCATTTTGATGGTAGTTTATTTTTAAAAGAGACAGTGATCTGAAGGCAGATGTGCCCACAGCCTCTGGTGACACACCGTGGATTGAAGCCATGTTTGCATTTACTGGATCGTCGGCTGCACACGTTCCTGATGCAATAGAAAGCCCGACACAACCCTGCCCGCACATTAAGCATATTATTATGGCCCAGCCTGGTCCGAATCCAGGTCGGGTGGGGTTGGGCTCCTGGTTTGGGTTAGAAATAACAGCTCTACCTGGGAACGCCTTGGGATGTCCCCGGACGAGCTGGCCCAATGATTTTTAAACTTCATTAGACTTAGATCATAAGAGTTACATGTCTATTTATGAAGTAATTGTGCATTTTGATCTTCTGTCTGAATGAGGAGTGGATTTGATGTCGGTCAAAAGTCAGAGGACAAGTTATGAGAACGAAGTGCCGTGTTTTTAAAACTCTCAGACAGTAAATAAGAAACTGGCACCTGCAAAGTCTGTCATTTCTTCAAAAAAGTTTCCTGTCTGTACTAACCGTTCTTAAAAACATTTCTGCTGTCTGTTGACTCCTAATAACCCTTTGACATCACTAAACTCCACCCCTGCTGGTTGTGTTAACCAATCAGGAAGTACCAAATAACAGGAAGTGGATACCCTTTAAAAGGAAACACTTCTTGGAACTATTCAGTCTTTCCAGTCTTCCTGGAACTTTGTCTTACAAGTTTACTGGAAGACTCAGTCTGATGGCGAGTCGAAGAGGAACTTTCAGTTCTTACTGAAAGTCAGCTTTGGAGTATGGAATTGGACCATGTGCCAAGGGTCCATCCATTCCAGCGGAGTCACAGCTGCCTCGCTGTGAAGTCACCCGGGCGTAACGCCCTACAACTTCTAATGAAGATTCCTTCTAAGGAAGCTTATTCTGTTGAATGGAGTACTTTGTCATGACTTCTGACGATCCCCAGCCACTCTGACTGGAGACGCTGAAAAGGGAGCGTGAGATGGACCTCTGTACCGGAGCTGATTCATCTTCTGCATAGATAACAAGTCGTTCACGCCCTGAGTGTACCGCGGGCTGAGCTGGGGTCGAAAGAAGGATGCCATTTCTGGTCAACACATCTTCCTTCATCCATCTAAACCTTCTCTTTAAATCTTTAAACTTCTTTACTCCTTCTCTTTAAACTTCTATTCACCAGTAAATCAAGTTAAGTGCCTTCAGAGATTAATCATTCTCCATCAGTAATCTTCTGTTGTCTTGTTATTTGAACTTGCTAAGTTTATTAATCAGAAACAGATCCAAAAATCAATGTGTACATGTTTTGATGTTAAATTTTGATTCTGTTAAATAAATGACCGCATTTATTCTGATGGGTCAAAGATAAATTACGTCTCATGTCACTAATAATACATTCCACTCTCAAGTTATCTTGGTCACATGGCAGAAATTTAACTCGAAAAAGAAAGAATCCGTTGTAATTAAACAATTAATATTCTTTGTGCTTGAACTAGCTTTAAGAATAATTAATTAGTAGTGTGTCTGCAGCAAAGCTGACCCTGTCTCACTACAGGTTCTAGTGGGCAGGGTCAGAGTTCAACAAATGACATTGCGCACCTTACCAGCTGGTGGCGGTAATGCTAGGTGTAAGACCATGAAACAGGTTTCAGTACAGGATGAGAATTTATTTTGAATTTTCTATTAAATAAAAAGTATACAGATTATTAAAATTATATAATTAAACAATATAAATCCTGCAAATGAACTTTTAATGAACTTTAGTTCACCATTAAATCTCTGATGAATCAGATTCTACAAAGACATCAATATTTAAAATGTTATGATTTTTCTTCATCATTTAATATATTTGCCCTCATTTCATGATCAGCGGCCCCCGCTGACCCCCATCAGCCCCTGTCTCACACTCACAGCCCCATCATGTCATGTTTCTGCTCCTCTTTGTCATCATGCTGTTTTTCTTCTGTCATTAGCCACACCCCCTCTGCACTTTCAGCTCATCAGCCTGATTCCACTCACTTGTTCAGCTCATCTAGTTCACCTGCTCTGCATCCTTCATAAACTCCATTCTCCCTCTCCACCACGCTGAATTATTACACCTTCCATGGTCCCTGATTCTGAAGCCTTTTTGTCATAGTATCTTGTTTCATGCCTTGCATCCTTGCCTTGACCCCTCGCCTGTACCACGGATTCCTTGTTTTGCCTGCCCCTCTTTGGATTTGGAATATTTGCTCTGACCACGGTAAACGACTCTGCTTTCCCTTCACGACGATTATGGATTACGACTTGGCTCTGGTTTCTGCTGTTTCCCCGTGTATGACCCCTGCGTTGTTATATGGACCCTGCTGTTGGACTTGCCACCCCACAAACCACATACAACTGCAGCTGCTCTGCCAGTGACATCATTGCTGACAGGTGACTCTCTCCCTACAACCTGTGAGGACCTGTTAACACAGCTGATCCTGACTTCTCACTAACGGCCAATAATAAAAATCAGCAAGCAGCAGCAAACTGGTTGATCCACTCTGAGAAGGTGCTTTTTAAGAGACTGAGCTGAATACAGCACCTCAGACTGAGGAAGTCTCTCGGATGAGAGACGAAACGTTTCTACATTTTTTTGTTGTTTTTTTTTTTTTTTTTTTGAATGTCCAGAGGACCAGATTGAACTTTTTTTGGATTTTTCTACCTGGATTATTGAGCATGCATCAGGATAAATTGTTCTTGTTTTTGCACTCCTGTGTCTGGCTATTTTGAATCCAAAAACACAACCGTGACAACTCATTGTGTCTAATTTTATTGTTCAATTTAGATATATGGTTTTGTTTTTTCTATACAGATTATTTTTATTTTATTGTAGCTTTGATTTAAAGTGTAATTCTTGTTTAGTGATTTGTACATTTGTGGGTTAGAATAAAGTTGAACTAAAGCCTGTGTCTCTTCTTTAAACATGTTTAAGGGAAATATTCCTGAGATCCAATAATTTTGTGTCTTTTTATGATTCTTCAGCTGAGTTAACTTTAACAGATTATTTAATAAAGTCATTAAAGTGAAAACAGAAATTCATGATAAAGCCGGCACCATTTATTTATTTATTGTTTTTAAATCGTCAATGCCAAAAAATATATATATTTTTTATACATAAAATGTTTTTAAAATTTTTTTCCACCCTCTGTCCCAGACCTGTCCCGGTCCGCCCATCTGCCAGTGCTCGGGGTCCACCCTTCAGGAGCATGCAAGGCCGCGGCTTGGGTGGGCTTCGGCCTCGCATGCTCCTGCGGGTCGGCAGCACGGAGGAGCTTACACAATGACCTGCGGAACTCGGAGCCGGGGATATGACACCCTGCCTGGCCTGAGGGGGCTCCGAGGAGAGGACCGGGGCACTGGCAGAACTCCATCTAGCTTGGTCTGAATTTTGTCGTCGGCCACCCACCAAGCACAAAAAATGCCTGCACTTCAGCATTAGACCACGTTGTTGTCATTATTAACAACAAAGTCCATGCTCAAGAATCCAGGTATAAAATCCAACATTTTTCAGCATTCTGAAAAATGTTGGATTTTATACCTGGATTCTTGAGCATGGACTTTGTTGTTTTCAACCAGTTTGACAAGACTGTCAACAAGGAAGAGGGCCGGCAATGGAGGAGGGGGCGTACCAAAGAGACCATCTTATCACAAGCAGAACTGGTTTGTTCCACTTTGAAGTAAACTGTTGGAGGAAGAATCAGTTTTGTTGTGTGTTTCTTGACTGATGAAGCCTTCTGGATTGAAGGCGAAATGTTTCAGCACCAACAAAAAAAAAAAGAAACTGTCCAGATGATCTGACTGAAAAATGTTGTTGTCATTATTGTTTTTAAAATCTTTAAAATAGGTCCAGACGCTCCTCGAGTTTGAGTTATTAGTTCTGTCTCACGGATTGTCTGTGGTTAATCTGGAAATTGGGGATGCTATTGTTTCAGATCACAAACCCATTTCATTCCAAACCTCTGTTATTCATGAGTCTAAATCCCCCGCTCCAGCCAAGAGTTGTTGGATATTTAACTCTTCAACCGCTGCTCTTTTTTCCTCTGCATTCATTACTGATGCTGCTTCAGTCCCTGAAACCTCTGCCGGTAATAATACACAGGAGCTGCTCAGTAGGCATGATGTGACCTGCTCTAAGATCTTAGACCTCGTGGCCCCGCTAAAAATCAGGCGACTATAGCGGGCACCACACCCCTGGTTGAACGTGACCACTCGAGCGGCCAAACGTCTATGCAGGAGAGCTGAACGCAAGTGGAAAAAGGACAAATTACAGGTTTCTTTTATTATGTTAAAAACATGTTTGAAAGATTATCAGAGCATCGTTAAATCTGAAAAGAACAAATACTTCTCCCAAATCATTGCTTCAAACAGTCATAATCCCAGAGTTCTTTTTAATACTGTAAATTCCATTTTAAACGTGCCTCGGTCTGCCAGCATGGAGGCCTCCGTTGACATCTGCAACAACTTCACCAGATACTTTGCTGATAAGGTAGAGTTGATTAGGTCATCCATCCCCCAGTCCACAACTGATCCCTCTGTCTTTATCCCTTGCTCAGCTGTCTTCAAACAGTTTGAACCCATTTCACTCCCATTTCTGAACAAAGTCGTTGGTCAGATGAAACCCTCCGGTTCCCCCGCTGACCCCATTCCTGTGTCGTTTTTCAAACAAGTTCTACCCACGATTGGACCCTCTGTTCTTACTATTACAAATAGTAGTATTGTGACAAGTGTGGTTCCAGATGTTTTCAAACATGCAGTAGTTCATCCGTTAATTAAGAAAGCTGGACTTGACCCTTCAACTTGCTCAAATTTCAGACCAA